ATTATTTTATAATGTTTCATTTCACTGTTCTTTTCCCAATATGTAAATAAAACAAAAAGAAGAAAGTATATTTCCAGATTTCCAGTTTATTTAAACAAGTTTGTGTATAAAGTATGATAGTAGTAGTACAATGGAGAAATTTATGAAATCTATTGAACTCACTAGACGACATAGATGAATGATTTTTGTTTAAAGTAGACTATTAATTAAATCAGTGTTTGTTTTTTCTTTTAGTTTAGATTTAATTTTTAGTCATGGTAAAAAGGATCAATTCAGTACAAAACTGTTAAAATGGGAATAACTAAAATGTACTATTTAAGTTTAAAATTCTTAAACACACTAACTGATTCAAAAGTGAGTATAACTAACAACATTTGTATAATTAAGTGAGAACATACAGAATTATCCTGCGACTCGGTGTATATTTCTAGCAAGTTCAAATTAAGTCATCAGATGACTTGAAGCTTTTTTGATAACAAATTAAGTAATCTATTTCATGAATTCGCTTTACCTAGACAACTATTAAAAACGCTGAAGCATAGAATGATTTGTTTCACATGAAAATAAAATTAATCAGAATTGCACATTGATGATCCTACAAAGAAACAAAACTGAGGATCATACAGTAAACACCTCATTGCCAGATCAATAAAATTACAATTATAAATGAATGGAAGCTTCACAATTATTCATCTCGGAACGTAAAGATTAAATTTTAGAAGAATAATTATTTAGTGGTTCTCAGTGGTTTTAAAATAAATTTTTTGGTATGAACCTTTGATTGTAGATGTTAAACGTTGACAGCTATGCTATTATTATTTCATTATCGTTGATACAACCACGTTAATATGATAAAATTCAGTCTGTTTACAAATATCTGCAATAATTAAGAAATTCAACTGCATTATTCGATAAACTACTTTACTATAGATTGTATCTTTTTATCCATTCATAATGTGACCCATCAAAGTCATTTGATTACATTGTTATTCATATTTGTTAATGTACATCACTTATAACCTGTAATAACAGATCAGTCGTATTGCTGTATTGTTGTGAAGATGATTAACTTACATTACTGAAACCATGAATCGATCAATGTTAGACCACCATTAGAAACCTGGAAGCACTGGACGGCCGTTTCGTCCTGGTATGGGACTAATCAGCAGTGCGCACCCACGACTCCTGCACCCCGCAGGATTCGGATACAGGACCTTCGGTATTGTGCGCGAACCCCATAGCCGTTAGACCACTGAGCCGGTACCTAACGGTGTTAATGTCTTACTTGATCAAATTCAAGGAGTTGCGCAACGTCGTACACAGTCTTCGGTAGACACCGTCTACACCCGAACAGGTTGAACTTCACTGGTCACGACTTACCACTTGAACTCGGAGAAGATTCCTCACCAAGCTAGTCACTAGTGAGCACACGTAATTGCATTGCGGGGTTGTTGTAAAGATTATTAAGTTACATTGTTAAAACCATGAATCGATCAATGTTGATGAGTCCCATACCAGGACGAAACGGCCGTCCAGTGCTTCCAGATTTCTAACGGTGGTCTAACATTGATCGATTCATGTTTTCAATAACAGATCAGTGTGTTTAATTCAGATCTGAAACTACTTTTAAATGTTTAACTCAATATAATTGTTTGAATGAAAGTAAGGAAATAAACCTTACTCATATACTAACGTCTAGTATCATTATCAGTAATCATTATCAATCATCGAACACAGAGAGAAATTCAACTAATTCACATGTGTAGAAATAATTCTGGTTACTTATTGATGACTTATTCATTTTAATCATTCTCTGTCATATTTGTAATTGATAATGTCTTATAAATATACTTGTTTGTTTATTATAATAACGAACATATGATCTGCCAACTAATGTTTATATCAATCATTATCAAAGTTGCAAGTCTAGCAATGAATTCTGTTACAGCCTCCAAAAACAATTAAAAAAAACAATGAAATTTTTATAAAAAATGAATGTAAATTTTTCATCATAATACAAAATATACATTCTGCATAAATAAATAAAGTAGTTAATAAAAACAATAATGCACATCTTTTGAAATTAAAGTTTCACTTAAAACAAATCGAAATCATAAAAGTATTGGAAAAAAAAGAAACGTTTACCAGATGTAGAAATAAAATTGTTAGTGATATTTTATGATTACCATTTATTTTTCATCTTGTTAACAACAGATTCACTTGTACCTTTTTGAAAAATGTTGTAATTTTTTTTCTTTTTTCGTCAAGATAAAAAAAAGCTACATTAAGAAAAATCAATAGTACTGGTTCACTGGGAAAATAGTTAGTTATAAGACATGGATGTTGATGAATAGTGGTATCCAGGATGTGAATTTCATTCTATTTGATATTCATCTGCTTTTAATGATGCTTTATAAGTTACTAGCAATATTGAGGCAAAGCGCACAGGATGTACATTATACCGATGAAACTTGATCAATTTTAGTAGTGATAATAATAGGGGGAAGGTTGAAACCACCAACATAAATGGTTATAACTATTCATGTAAATAGTCAATTATGCATTATTAATGTAAGATTTAACATTAAAGTTGCCATGCCGCACATTAACTTGATGAAATAGTAGTAAATTTAACTATTTCAAAGTCAAACTGCGCGAAAAAACAACATCAATTTCAAAGGAAATGTAGACAAGAAAAATAGTTTTGAAAGAAACATAGGTAATTAAATTTTCTTAGTACAAATAATCATAACAGTCTAATTTGTTTTCAGGTTTCATTATAGTAAAAGAAATAGTTAAATGGTGGATGGAGAAATAATTATTTACTACATGTGTTCTAATTTTTTGTTGACTCAATAAGCTTTCTTAGTGAGCTATTATGCAACTGGAATAAAGTAATTCCTCAATCAATCACTGTTAGACCACCATTAGGAACTTGGAAGCACTGGACGGCTGTTTCATCCTGGTATGAGACTCATCAGCAGTGCGCATCCATGACCCATACAACCTGCAGGATTCGAACCTGGGACCTTCGGTCTTGCGCGCGAACGCCAAACCTCTGGATCACTGGGCCCATCCAGTGCGTCCAGGTTTCTAATGGTGGTACTTAGTGTTAATTAAATGTTTGAGATTATCAAGTCGTATTTGATATGTTCTCATGATATTAGCTCAGTTTGTAAAGTGATAGGTTAAATTGTGATTTTTGGGTGTGTATGAAATTTAAAAAAAAATGATTCTTTATTAAATTTTATTGAATAATTCATAGAATTCAGAAGCAAAAGTTACTGTTTTGGAGCTTCAGTGTGAAAATCAACTCTTAGAAGCAGGTAAATGTAAATAACGAGTTGCAAATAGTACTGAACACATGTCCTGTGTTTCACTGACGGCTGCGTATCAAATATACCAAGGCTTGTGATATAATACAATATACTCAAGCAACCCATTTATGACATTAATATGGTAAGAGAAACTGATTAACTGTAGTTCTGAATATCAACAATAAGTATCAACAAACCCTTATGAATTGTATAACTTATATTTTGGATGAAAATTGTGCTTACTAAACATGCTGCATGTAATGAAAGATTATATCTGAATCGATTCATTATTATTTTATTGATAGTGTTAATCGTTAATCTAGATAACCAAATAAACGAAAAAATACCAAACTGGAATGTGAAATATGTTAAGTTATTTATTTAATTGCTTTGTAGATCACTTGTACAACACTCTTTTAAAGTGGGGAAGTAGTTTATTTGGATCTAAGTTTTGATGTAAATATAGTTTGTTCTATGGGAAAATAATTAAATTATTTGAAATGCTAATAATAACTAGCACGCAACAAGATGTTGAGTTTTCAATTTGTGCTTAGGAAATAAAAATATCAGTGCTTTATGATTGAATTCTTTTTTTTTAAGGAACTAGCACTTAAAACAGTCTAGACTCCTTTAAACTTTCGATAGAAGCAAAGCACTTATATTTGTCTCATCTACTACCTCACCAGTTGAATTATATATCAGCTTGTATTGAAAATTTTTCAAAATCGTTATCAGTTTTCTGCTTTTCAAGCATTTAATGGAATTTAAATGATCATAACAAGCCTTCGTTATATTTGAAAAAAAAAGTTACTGATAAAGAAGTTTAAAGATAGTGATTTGTAAAAATGTGAGGCATTTCTTTCAAAATTAGACTAGAATTGTTTATTTTTGAATTTTTTTTCAGTCAAAAATTTCTAAATAATATAATCTATTGGCCAGCTGTAGGCAAATAGTTTTTAATTGAATGTTTAGATGAAAAAATGAATTATTTCTATTTTATTATTATCTCAGAATTTGAGAGTTCAATTCGGTAAAAACAAAGAATTCTTTAGAGACTGACAAACCCAAATTCACTACCGATAAATAATTTAAAATGTTCATAGCTAACTAAAAGTATTTACTATCAAATGACCACTAAAATTTATCTCATTGAATCGTTTAAATTTGAAATAATTCAACAATAGTATCTCTAATCTCGATTCTCACTATTTATGGAGTACAATATCTGAGATGTATTAAATGTGCCTTGTCTAATGAGTGACAGATAAATCATAAACGACATTGTACACTTCTAAATTATTTCACCCAACTGTTCATGATACACATTTACGATTTACAGATTTTGACATCTGATTGTAAATATTTCAGTCACAGTATTTCATTTTATATGCAGATTATGCGAAGAACCTGAAGATGCTTCTACCATGTTAAAAAAAAACTGTAAGACATCTTATTGAGAAATTTTCATGCTTAACATAATGCAAGTATGCTTCTTCAGTTATATACTAAATCAGCCTTATATTAAACTTTTAGGACTCACTAGTTTAAGTTACTTTTTAAAAGCATTCACAGATTGTTCGGTAACAAATAAACATATAATATAAATAGCTATTATACAGCTTAATTATTACTCGAAAATTACATATTGTTAAAGATATATATATTTACCATTAATTGTCTTACCTATAGTTGTTATGATAGTGACAGCGAATAAAATACTTCCTTCAAATGTCCAATTAAAGTCATCTGTATGTTCTGATCCATTCCAACCTTCATCTTTTATAGCAGTTACAATTTGTTCAACATACTTTGCTAGTTTATTTTGTAGATTATTTTCCAGTACAAAACTTTTGTTTAGAATTATTGGCAATATATCATCTAATTTTGAAAGTAAAACAAAATGTTTTGGCAAAGAGTTAATCAGATCTGCCGAGAAGTAGACTTCATCTGTTTTAGAATCGTTTTTTAACTGTAAATTTAGTGTTTGGTTGACAGATGTTATCGGTGTTGATTGTGTTTTCGGATTTATTAATGTTATTGAGTCTGTTTTATTAGATAAAGATGAGGTACTTAAATCGTTTTCATTCGAATTATTCACAGAGGGCGTTAGAATGGGATTTAAATCATCTGATATTTGACCTATCGGGTCGTTTGTCACCGACTTATTAAGTAACTGTTCTTGTTCTGTATTAAAATTGTTATGGTATGAACTGATGAATTCGGTATAATTTTTGTGAAACCACCATTGTGGTAATATTCTTTTCGGCCATCCTAAAGTTGATAAATACCATGATAAACCATCTAATTGCTGTTTCTGTTCATCTTTTAATTCGTTTGATAGATAACGTTTGCTATGAATACTATTTACTATAGCTAAATTTTCAATAGAATCATATAAGTTCGAGTGAATATTTAATTTCCTGCCAAAATTTGTTCGTTCAAATTGTTGAATTATATTTACATGATTCAGTATAGTATCCAGTAATTCCAGTTGTGAGTTTCGCCATTCTAGAATTAAATCTTTCACTAAAACTGTGCGTTTCTCAAACATTTTAAGTTTTATTTCTGATTCATGATCACGTTCCACAGCATAAAACATTGAACCACCAATCATTGTATAAATAATCACCAGAATAGCTAAACCAACATGTGATAACAAAAAGGTAAATAAACGTTTTAAGCATAATATAGTTTCAGTTTTTCTTGAATTCACATTACTGCTGTTATCACCGGAAGTGTGTATAGTTTCATCTTTGTACAATGTTTGATTATCACCTAAAGTAAATGGCACATTAAGTTTATTTAGGTTGTTATTGTTAATGATAGGTGGTGTTGAACTGATTACAGATTGTTGATTAAAATAGGTACGTTGAGGTGACAAGATTGAATTTAGATATGACATGTGTGGTAAATTTATTTGGTTAATATAACTAGAATTCTTATTACTAAGTTGGTCTACAGTATTACAGCATGTTTGATTTTCTGAAACTTTCACTTTTTGACTTGAAGGTAAACTTGAAAATGATGAATGGAATTCAAAGTTTCTGGAATTTGTTCTCATATACAAGATTGTGAAAACAATTTCAGGTATTTGATGCAAGCAAATGGATTCTCTTTATTGTAGGAAATTAAGTAAGATTATGTCATTTACTAATTGGCAAGTGATGATTATTTGTTACTCTATTTGTCGTATTCAATAAATGGTATTTTGAAGGTTTTCTTCAAGGGAAAGTTTCAATCAGAGCAACTAACCAATCAAGTAGCAGGAAAATATTCCGGCCAATCAAAATGATGACAAATAATAACTTACATATTTCGTATATGTGGAACCAAACATATACAGACAGTAGATTGTGAAAGTTTGTCAGTTATGCACTAAGTATGGCGTGTTTTTTCGCATGTACACGAACAGACAAATTTAATATCAGTTTGATGATGAACAAAAATATCGGACTTTTTCGTTTATTGATAAAGGAAACAAGCTTGTTGATATGATCTAAAAAAATTATAGAACATACAAATTGTTTGTAAGTGATGCAATAATACATCACTTATATTAACTATCTAATATTCTTGGTCCAATTACGACGACCACTAAGCTCTTGTCTTGAGATTTTAAGCAAATTGGAATCTACATTATTGCGGCAGTGTGAGTTTTCCTAGTAATCTTGTATAACATGAAATTTAAAAGCATTTGGCTCCTTGTTTTATTGATAAACTTAATAACTTTAACTTCGTTTTTATCTTTAAAATAAAAATGTATTTAATACCGTTGTGTTCCTATATTTGTTGATTAACACCCATTAAACTTAAGTTGAATATTATTACTAATGAAAATCATAAACGAATCACTATAGGTTGAAAATAGTTATTTAAACATGGGTATTTAACAAATGCACTTTCTGTCAATGAATGTATTACCTAGCTGAACAATTTTTTCTAGGCTAAATTGCCTGACTCCGATATAACTGAATGATGTTGATGCCATTGAAATATATAAACTTTTTAATTTCGTAATTTGTTTTTCATTGTCTGTTAATCACTATAATACAATGTAAAAATAAAAACAGTCAAATACATAAGTTGCATTTATGACATTTTAGTGAGTAAGCAGACTGAACTGGTCAGTTTGAAAGTAGAATCGATACAGTTCAGAGTTAACAGTGAATAATTAAGAAGAGCATATTTTTGAAAATAAATGAGAAATAATATGGATATCATCACCATAGTCTGACTTGATAATTTCAAACAGATTGAACAGTAGGTAGCTAGCTTGTTACTAATAAAATTCTATATTCCAATGAATAGGTAAATAAACATTTTCTAGCCTTACTCAATGTAAGCAATTTCCTCGGATAATAAGTAAATAAATAAAATCAACTCAAGTTTAAATGGTACAAAACAAAAACTTAAAAATATATAGTACGATCAATCAGTAAAAAATTGGTCCGATTAAGTCAATATCGTGTCACTCTGGTCATGGTGATTTAAGAGGTATGCTTGGGTACTGTTGTATATGTGTGAGTATGAGAAATGTGACATGTGAAAGAACAGTGTTGAATTCGTATGTGATAGTTGTGTGAGGTGTGGAAAGAGTCAGATATGATAACTTGCATGGCTGGTTCAATTCGGGTGAATTGTAAAGCCTTCTCTTCTTTTTACACATTTGGAATCATCAACCAATCATTGTTAGACCCCCATTAGAAACCTGGAAGCACTGGATGGCCATTTCGTCCTGGTATGGGACTCATCAGCAGTGCGCATCCACGACTCCTGCACCCCGCAGGATTCGAATACAGGACCTTCGGTGTTGTGCGCGAGCGCCTAACCATCGGACCACTGGGTCGGCATCCAACGGTGTTAATGTCTAACTCTGATTGATCTACGGATTTTGCGCGACGTCACCCAATTGTCTTTGGTAGTTACTGCCTACACCCGACAGGGTTGAACTCTTTACTATATAGAAAGCTTCAGGTAATCATTTTTCCTAATAGTTGAACGAGCTTTTTAGAATTAGTTTGATATGTTTAATATCGTCTTGATGGTTATTAAAGTTAGTATGCACTGATATTACTGATATAATTTAGAGTTTTTCAAGTTCTATAGGAATGGTAAGTAACACAACTAAATGTGTAAACAGTTCTGCCTCTATATAAAGAGAACATTGTCCTCTATACACACTAAAATATTTTGTTTCCTAATATTCTTTAATTCTCTTTTGTTTCAGGATTCATTAGAGTTTTCCTGTTGTTCCATGGCGATATGGTACAACCAAAGTACCAAACCATGGTAATTCAGTCAAACTGCTACGAAACAGTCGATCGTCGCCTTTTACTGCATGTTTAGTGTTTATAGAAAATATATTAAATTGTAAGTAAATATTTCTGTTCTTTCTGTTCATCCTCTTCTGAAGTAATAATCTGGGTCGTTCTTCTGAATCGATTCAGAGCTAGAGAGATTTTTGCACTGAATGGATATGCTGTTTTGATGAGTCTATCAGCTTTCGGTATATGCTTATATCAGAGTTCCACTAAGATTTCTTTCAACTACGCTATACACAAATAATAGCTCACTGTATCCATTTTCTTTCTCGTAAGTGGAGTTAATGTTGACTGAAATAGTGTTGATCAGTTTATAGAAAGACCGTCCGAAAGTCTTTTTCATAACGGCCAAAATATCTTCAGCAAATCTTAGCCGAATTCATGGTTTAATTTAGATGGCAAAAATATTTGATTCTATATGTGACGTTAAACAAGTTGACTACAATCTTGGACACTGGAGATCCCATTGTTTCTACGTTTCTTTGAAGTTAGATATAATTAAATTTAAGCATGGTTTCAGGAATTTTGTGCTTGAACCGAAGCTTCAAGGATATTTGCCAGATAAGATTCGATAATTTTGGTAAAAGCCATCGATGAAGCCTAGGCGTCTATCAATGCATAAAGATGTTATATCATGTCTGACCGTGGTTTTACCCTGTTGAATTTTTGAATTAAATTAAATGAAATCTTTAATTACATCATGTTAGTTGTGTTAAAGTGGCTTCATTATGCATCCCAAATACTTACGTAATGCCTACATAGAAGTGTACTTTTCTATTGTCTTTGTTAGCTCTTGTGATTACAGTAGCTCTGTCATTTCGAAGTGAGTGCAGAGCTCTCCATTCTTTCAAGGTTTTAGACTTGAGGTATTTTTATTTAGTTGCCATAAGAGCGGGATTTAGACGTAGCAAGTGAGACTTTTCTCAGTGATGGTTCTAGAATAAAATTAATCCCTAGAGTGCTAAGTGGTTTTCTGTGCCGAATGGATTCCAATTTTTTTCCAGTGGAATGATTGGATTGTTGTTTAAATTTCTGTTTTAGTGATTATACACGATTCAGATTATTAGAATTTGTTTTATTGAAGTTCTATTTTATTTCTGTGCTTATTTAGTCTCTCCATACTTTTTGATTTGTCAGAATTTCGATGAATTCAAAAAATGTCGTTCTTTAGAATTATAAAGGTCATACATATAGACTTGTAATTCAATGGAAATTAATGGTTGTTTGGATAATCTAGGTTTTTTAATGTGTCCCTGGAATTTCATTGTAAATTTATGTATTTGTGAGTATTCTGTTGTGAAAAATGTTCTTGATATGCATTGAAAAGCCTCTAGAGAGCGCTAAAACCGTCTTGATGGTGTGTAAATTTTAGAGGAGGTGCGCATGTGAAAAAGGAATGTCAAATTAACAAAATAAAGTCGGATAGTAGTCTGAGTAGAGTAAAATAACTAGTGCTTTTTTGGTCACAATTTTTAAAGCTTTTTCATGAGGGGAGAGAAAGGTCTTGCGTTAAACGATGTAAGTGAAATCTTGGAGAATTTGAGGAATAACCAAACAGAGAGGGATATTTTCAAATGAAAAATTCATGAAATCAAAATGATTTTGATGAACTAATTCAGTAATAAAAATAAATTTATTTCTTTTGGATATAATACTTCGGCTGTATTGCTTAGATCGAAATCATTTTTGTTATTTTGTACTGCTTGATTGTCAATTTGTTAAAAAAGATAATCCTTCATTAAACTTCACGTAAAACTGTTTTAATAGAACTTATAAATTTTAAAAAAGCGTTTTTCACTAATAGCTCATTGGATAAAAATCGGTTGATAAAATTCAGTGTAGCTAATCAAGTCAAAGGTACTAGTGACTTATATTCTAGTCAGTTATTATGATCTATAGCATAGTTTCTGTTTAAGATTTGGACTGGTTTAGATCTGTTTTCTTCTTTTTTTATCCAAAATTGCGCATTTATTCTTATTAACAAAAAACTGTTGATCAATTCCATTGAAAATCTTTTAACAGAATGTGAAATGTAATACGTAATTGGACTAATTTTTTTAGTAATAAAATTATTTGATGAAAGTTCTTCATGTTTTTTTTCACTGAAATGAACAGGAGATTTTTTTCTGATTTATTTATTTATTTTTCAAAAAAAACATGCATTTTTGTGTAATTTATCATTAGAAATAAAGAAATTTTGATTTTACGTAAATTGCTGGATTTTTGATTAATGCACTTAAGTTAGAAGAAAAAAATACAACTGATTGAGAATTATTTTCATTAAACGTGATCTCTTAGAAATGTTAAATTTTATTTAAAAGCTATCCCAATATATGAATGAATAGTCTCGAAAAAAGTTTTTTTTTTTTGATTACCAATAAAAATTATTATTATTATTATTACTTAAAAAGGAAAAATGAAAGAGGATTGGACACTTTGTTAATATTATAAAGTTTTTTAAAGAAAAGGAAATCAGTTTCTCTTTTGCAATAAATGATAGTTACTTAAAGCAATGTAAGGATTTTCTTTATGCGGGAATTATTTCAATTAGTTAGATACCGGCCCAGTGGTCCGATGGTTAGGTGTTCGCCTACAATACCGAAGGTCCTCCTAGGTGAGGATCCTGTGGGGTGCAAGAGTCGTGGATGCGCACTGCTGAGGAGTTCCGTACCAGGACGAAACGGCCATTCAGTGCTTCCAGGTTTCTAATGGTGGTCTCACATTGATCGAATCATGGTTT